CCAGGGATATTCCAGTGATGTATTAACGCAAATTAAATACACCTGGACGAATGATAATCAACTTCACATTAACATTCGTGCTACCAGTACAAATTCCACTCCCATCAACGTTACTAATTACTGTTTGTTCAATCTTGCCGGACATGTAAGACATAAGTATTACAAAGAATTGGTCTTTTTCTTCTTAAGAAAATTTATTAATTAATTTCGTTTATCTAAGATAGGAATATGAGACTTACAGTAAAAAAAATCTATAGTATATAAATAATGTATTCGAATTATCTTTTTAGCTTCAGATACGTGAATTTTCTAAATGAAAGAAAATTAATGACGATTGTTGTCTTGTCAGTTTATACATACAATACAATAACTTTTTTTAATTTACAAACAATTTATGATTATAAAACTTTCACCTTTATAATTATGACTTTATGATTATAATAGTATTTATTAATTTTAGAAGTTAGACATAAGCAACAGGAAATAAAAAATATCGATTTGCTTATTGCTTATGTCTTACTGTTTTCTATATGCTACTAGCTTCTATTTAATTGTAAGACAACACTGAGAGGCAATTTAATAGGGTACAGGTTCGAAGGAATTGAAAAAACACGTCCTCACCGTCAATGCCGACAGTTGGATTTTCACGGACATCAAGAATAACTTACCGACCAGTATTATATGTCCGGTGGATGGTACATCATGCGAACTGCGATTACCAGTACAGTTAAACCAACGTCGATTATTTGATATACCGGGTGGTGGTTACAATCACAATTTGTGCATCAACAGTCCCAGCAGCTGGTGTTATCGTTTTCATGCTCGGTAATCTTCCAACATTATCCGACATCGAATTTAATTTCCGTATTTTATGCGTTATAATGCATTCTATAATGCATGTATTTTTTCTTAATAAATTTGTTTTATGAATTGTATATGAAAAGAATTTTGCATCCTACTTCCGGCCGATTTTTGGAGGTTTACTCGAATAATCCTGGATTACAAGTCTATACAGGAAATGACTTGCCACATCAATACGTTTATCCTCCTGATTTAAAAAATTGTGAATGGGGAGGCTGCGAGAATACGCAAATTAATTCCTTGAAATCGGTAAAATGTGTGATTAAAAATTTATCTTATTTTTGAAATATAGTAAAATAACTTTAAGAATGAGATCAATATTAAGTTAAATGAAACGTAGTATTAATTTCTGTAAGGGATTAATACTGTAGTTTTGTCAATTTATCATCTTTACACAGAGCTGTAAAAATGTTATAATATAAGTATCTAATAAAAAAAAACAAATATTCTTTTAAATAGTTTTAATTTAATTTTAAAAGTTAAAAATGTTAAGCCGTTTGATGATTAATATATAAATCAACATTTCCCAATTTCATTGCATCTGTTTTAGCAGAGGAACTTTTTTTAAATTTCTATTTTAAAAAAATTTGATATCTTTTGATACAAAAAGATTCAATACATTTTTTAGTTATTGAAAATATTACCTTTTTGAATAGACGAAGGAAATTGCAAAGGAGAAAGCAACGGAAATTTATGGTAAAGGAGGTATTCCCTATCGCCGTCATAGCGGATTTGCTTTATCGCCCCAGAATTATCCTAATGCTAGTAATATTGAACACTTTCCGTCCTGTATGCTGTATCCCGGAAAGATGTATATACACGACATGACGTACAAGTTTGGAGTGCTTTCTGAAGATTAAAACATTTTTGTATTATTTTAATTTACTTTTTTTTTAATGTTTAATTTTTATCATGCATGAAAAGAATTTTTCGTTATATTTTATCGTAAAATTTGTTACAATTTTATCATGTTTATTAATAAACGAGAGATAATTTAGTAGTCTATTAAATCGCTTGTAATGATAGAAATTTTTGAATTAAATTATACAAAGGATATTTTTTATAAACTACATAATTATCTCTGCAGCACAAAATATTGCAGCAATATTTTAATAGTGCGCAATATTATATAAATTAGATAGATTGTTGCAATTGAAATTTTAATATTTTATAGAAAATACTGTAACAATAAAATATTATACCTTTCTTCTGTTTTATTTTTTAATATATATAATAATATAAAATATACATATAATATATAGAGGGTGGGATATTTATTGTTAATTAATTTTATTATTTAATTAACTTTAATAGTTAGTTAATTCTTAATATGTCAACACACATGATCTTATTCTAGCTTGGCAAAAAATAAAAAATTTAAAGGACAACATCACACGGTGTTCCCAAGCGGTCACCCATCTAAGTACTAACCGTGCTCAACGTTGCTTGACTTCAGTGATCGGACGAGAACTGGTAATTTTAAACGTGATTTGGAAGTTGTCCGATCGTAAGTTAATTGAGAAAGTTTTGTTTGGTTTTAGTATTTGTCATCCTTTTAAAAAAAAATTTTTTTATGTAACAATATAATAAACAATACTAGAATACTAATTGTATTTTTACTTAAAAAATGAGATGTACATCAACTTTTTTATTTTTATTTTTGATGAAAAATTTAGCTTTGATTGGTAAATCCATCACATAAAAAATTAGTACGATAATATTTCGTACAATGATATCGAATTTGTTGTGTAAAAACTGATTTTTGCAAAATGTTTTATTAATTTCGAAATTAAAAAATTTACGATGAAGAGAAAAAGGAAAGAAGAGAAAAAATGTTTATTGATGTTATCAATTTTCATTTAAATCTGCAAAAACTTTTTTTAATTTTACTTTTTGTAATATATAGGAAAATCGTATATATTCCTGAACTTTTGAATGATAATATAAGTATATATATCAATAAAATGAATATTCAGCGGCCATTTAGAGTTCGCGCGATGATTCTGCTCATGCCAGCGGATAGCAGCATCAAAAATAGTGCAACGGTTCTATGTTAATGGATCACAGAGTGTCAGAAATACATTCTTATTTGTGGAATATAAATAAATAAAGTTACTTTAAAGATAATGAAAACTTTCTGCGTATCCATGTATCTCACTGAAAGAAGAACATGAAACTGTGGAACAATAATACATTCAACCAATAAGGATATATTTGTCATAATTTTTGTAGAAGAAAGAAAGAGAAAAGAAAGCCGCTTTAAATAAACTCTATTCACATCTTTATTATACTGACATGTTTTTTAATATATTATACATAATTAAAATTTTTACTATGATGTAGACCACGAAATAATAACGTATATATAAGCGACCATATTGATGATATGTGATAAGAAATTCTCTTTGAGGTTTAAGCACAAAGTGTATTGATTTTGTACATGAGACTACATTCGTGCCGCGTTCCAAGCTAAAATTTATAAATATATAAAGCTATATCTTTTTTTGTATATGTGTACACATGCGTTCGCTCGCTTAAAGCTATAGTAATCTAGCGTTTGTACATCTCTAGCATGTTACGTCTAATCTAATCGTATTATATTTACGTAATAATTATAGGCAGTAAATTGATAGAACACTTGTTTTTCTAAACAACGTACAGAGAATTATTGATTACGAATTTCTACTTATTGATTTATAATAAACATTGGCGATTAATTAACACCGATAGAATATTTAATAATATTATTTTAATATATAAATTCTTGATTATCAGAAAAGATAAAACATCGAGACTTAGGTTGGTATTCATAATCTGATCTTATATTTTGTGTTTTATTACATGAAAATATTTCAAATACATACTCAATTCTGGGTAGAATATTCTGCATTCAAGATCGTTTTAAATATTATCTAGATGCTATACAGTCATTTCATTAAGGGGATGCTGGAGTGATGAAATTATTGATACATTACAGTCATATAAGAGAGAATCTCTAAATTGATAGAATAAAATAAAAAATCTTTTTACAGACTTCAAATAGACGCAAAATTAGAAGGCTGGGTTGTTTATATTTTATTACTAAAAATAGTTAAAAACTTACATCCTTTAACTCGTGGAGCTGTCATCTAATGTAGACGTTTCTTTAATAAAAAAAATTCTATAGTTCGTATAAACAAAATAACACTGCACCACTCGTTGAATTATGTGAACGAATAATACTGAGTTTATGGAATTAAGATTAAGAGCTTAAACAAAAATTTTTTGTTCAACTGAATGTACGTGTATAAGCATACACGTACATTCAGTTGAACAAAAAATTTTTGCTTATGCTTAGCAAAGATTCAGAATAAATACATCAGTAATCATGATGGAATCATATCATGGCTAATTTCACCATGGCAGTAATTATGTCTGGCAGTACATGCTATAGAGCTTGCAAGAGATGACGCTGCAATATGTTAGATAAGTTCAAATTTGAGACGATAATGTAAGAATAGAAGGTATCGTTCTCTCTCTTTTTCTGTCTCTCTCCTCTATTATGGATATTTATACATATAATTTGGAATTAAAAGTCTGTACTATCGACATTGATCAAGTTTGGCCGTCATTTCAGTATCCCCTTAAGATTACCCACGATTAGATTTGAAACAATATTGAATATTAGGTCAAACTATGAATATCGTCCCTTGATACGATTGGGTGCACTGGCAGTGTGAAAGAACCAAAACATAAAATAGCAGTCGTAAAGAATTGTTTGTTACACTCAATATATTTATCTGGCAGTTAAATAATGCATTCTGCACGCAATTGAACACAAAAGGTCAAGGCGCTCCACTATCTTCGATCGATATTGTTCTATTAAAAATTTAAACTTGTTTGAGAAGAGGACGTTCTCTTTTGTCGATTTCCGATTTTTACAGTCAGTAGCACAAATGCATAGTCAATAATTCTCCGAAAGAAACCATATATTAAAAATTAAAGTTATATATATTATTATAAATATATTTAAAACATATTTTAGTGAATAAAATGTACTTTTAAAATATAATTTAATATATTTAATTTTGAATATATCCGGTTTTTCTTCTTTCAAAGAATTGTTAATTACTCTCTTGTACTACTGACTGTACGTGTTATATATTCTATATTTGCGTCCCTCTCTTACGTACGTTGGTGCTTTTAATACTTTGCCGTAGCTTGAAATAATTACGCAAAATTGACTAAGAGAAAGCATTACACACACACACACACACACACATACACACACACACACACACAACACACACACACACACACGCAGTGACGGGCAGTGATTTTCTCACATAGTCCGATTATTTTGAATTTTCCTTTTTCCGACGATCCTATTCCGTAACTATGAGATGGACTGTGAAAGTCAATGGTTTCTCCCATTTTGTTCTTGTTGCTATTGTATTTTCAGGACGACCATGGATAACTAAGTGAAATTCGCCTGGAATTTTCAATCGGTGCCGAAAGTGTAAAGCGGAAATATCACGTTCTTTGACAATCTCGAAGTTTCCATCCTTGTTGCCCCGCACAATAGTGTAATCCACGTCTTCGTCCTGCAGAGTAATAATTATCGATCATTTTCGATCGAGAAGCAATTACAACTACAATGATATCTTACGAATAGTTTCGCAACGAAATCTCGAATTAAATCTGGCGAAAATTTTTTTTTTAGAATTTTACATATAACTTTTTAAAATTTCCAAATAATTTCTAAGTTTTTCAGAATCTATATAATTTTATAACTTCTTAAAAAATTTCTCGGTCTTTTTTTATAAATTAAAATACCTTTGAAAAATGCTAAGAATCTTAATATATTTTTTCTAGAATTTTTACATTTTGATATATTCTAAGATCTCTTATTCTTTTGAAAAAAAATATGAAACCTGAACAAATTTAGGATATTATTAATATTTTTCGTGATCTTCATAAAGGTATGACAAATTTTTCAAAAATATCTTGGAAATGTTTTTTTACCGAGTATCTCTTAAGATAAAATTCATCTTAAAATCTGTACCTCTATAGCAGATTGGAGCTTGATAATTCGCATACGATGTCTTGTCTGATGCAAATTTATCTTGAGTACATGCTCCGTTCCGTGATGATGCCTCTTCGGCCTAGCGTTGCGACGTTTCTTTTTTATCTCGCCTCCTCTCATTCTGATTCTTCCGTCCGCCGATCTCTTCCTAGCACCTCTTCTATGTCGTTCTTTTCCATTTACCTAATTTGAAAATCCGTGTTATCGCATTATTACGACAAAAGAAAATTAAAAGCATACCTTGCATGAGAAACAGCCTTCTGTAGAAATCGTCTTATCGTCAGCCGGCGGTATGTGATAAGGATCAGGATTGATTTGGAAAGTCGGCACGTTACCGATATCTTCGTCGTAGCGTCCTTGATGCGATGGATTAATCGTAGACAAACAGTGACCCTGAGATAAATTTTTTGAAAAATAATCCTACATCTTATTATATATTTCTTAAATATATGTATTGTAATTTTGAAGTTTCTTGTGTGTTTATCATGTGTGGGTGATACAAGTCAAGAACGGACCTGTCCTATTCGCTGATAACCAGTCGGACAGCCACAAATAAATCCATGGACTCCATTGGGAGTACAGCCAAAAGCACATGGGCTTCCAAGACATCCAGCACTTACCTTTGGAAATAAAAGCAAAAAATATGTATGTGTTTTTGAAAACTGGTTTAAAATGATGAAGGCTAACAAAGAAAACTGAAAAATACTTTTAAAGATATATGGAATTTAAACAGTACGAGAGAAGAAAGGTTCGCTTTACTTGCACACAAATAGCCATATTATTGTCAAACTGATATCCATCTGGGCAGCCACATTTGTAACTGCCAATGGTATTAATACAGGTACTGTCTCCACATGGTGAACCATTGCATTCATTCTCATCTATACATTGGCTGTGATAAATGTGTTGGACAAAGCCGTCTGGACATCCACAACGGTAAGTTCCCATAAGATTCTAAAAATAACAATTGCATACTGTAAAAGTATACAAAACTTTTTTAAAAGAAAAAGAAAGAATAACAATTATTGGAAACCTTAAATTTAGAGAGACCCAAATTGTTACCTGACAACCGTGTTCACAATTAGTATCATCAGCACATTCATTATAATCTGTGCAAAATCGTCCGGTATGATCTAGTTTGAAACCTCTTGGGCAAATACATTGGAAACTTCCCAAGGTATTAATACATTTTCCGGGTTTCGGACAAATGCCTGGTTGATCACATTCGTTTATATCTAGAAGAAAATTATATTATAAGAAATACAGTACGAAATTATAAAATATATATAATATTATTAGACGGAAATCTCATAGTGGAAAGTATTAATTATACACATTAAGAGTTTATATATATATGTATATGTATACCACATAATTCATAAATTCGAGAACGCTTGCGATTCTCGCACTTTCTGAAAAATAACCTGGTAAAAAAAAAAACTTTCTAAGCTTTAATATAGATTTAAAAAATTGCTACGATGATTTTTCGTAATGATATATCTTGTGTAAAAACTCGTTTTGTATAAAAACGTTTCTTGTAAAAACAAAATGTTTTTTTTAAATTTAAGATTAAAAAGTTTATAAAAAAAGAAAAAAAATTATTATAATGTTCTCACGTGGTTTACAAAAATTTTTCCAAATCTTAAAGACTTTATTTAATTAACTTAATTTTACTTGAAATGCGAGAAAATTGCAAGTTTTTCCGAAAATATAAACGGTAGTATATACATATATTATATTAATTTTTGTAGATATATAATAAAATAAAAAATTAAGAAAGACGTAACCATGACATGCATCTCCTTGTTGAATGTAGCCCTCCTGACAATCGCAAGTATAACTTCCCGGTGTGTTTATACAGTTTTGCTGACATAAATGATTTCCGGTTGCGCATTCATCCAAATCCCTGCAGCTAATACCGTCAGGATTCAGGATGAAACCCGACGGGCATGAACAGATGAAGCTGCCCTCGGTGTTTTGACAATTGTACTTGCATGGTTTCGGCGTTAACTCGCACTCGTTAATGTCTATGATTACAATATGTTCATTGTCACCATAATTATTTGTTAAGCTTAAACGATTGGAGAAACTTACCAATACATTGAATGCCAGATTTATCAGCTTTGTACCCTTTATTGCAGATGCATCTGTAAGAACCGAGTGTGTTTACGCAAAGACCATTCCTACAGAGATCGGGTATGGTTTTGCATTCGTCGATATCTGAAAATATACATCTATTTTTAGAACAAAAACAGAATATTATCTTTCAGTTAGATTCTTGTTTTAATCACTGTTGATTGAGGGTTAAAAATTCGTTAGAAGCTTAAGGCCTGATAAAAAAAAAAATTTTTTTACATGTTCATTGTATGCACTTTTTAGACCTGTACTGATTTTTAAGTACACTTACATCTTTATTCATTAAAAAAATTCTCAAAGAATACGTTTAAAATCAGCTCTCAAGTGGAAAGACTCCTTTAAATTTGAAACAGCACTACGAATTTATAATAAGTTCCAATCCAATATAATAATTTAACATGTGAATATACTTATGCATATTCATCTTTCCTTTACTTTAAAATATATTTAATAATTGTGTTATTTTTATATTATTTGTACTTTATTCATCAGTTATGTTATTTTAATAATAAGAAATGTCAAATATCAATTTATCACAAAATATATTTATCAAGTAACATTATATGTTAAATTAATATTTGGGTGTAAAAATAAAATCTACAACACAAAAATGTTAACAAAATCGATTAACATAAGCATCGAATATTTGTTATAAATACAATCGAAATATACTCATCACCATCATAACGTATAATATATTATTAGTATTATTACCTTGTCCATCCACGGAGAATCCTCTGTCCAGACAGAGTTCATTATAATTGTCGGAGTCTCTGGATGGACAAATCTCGCAATGCGGCCCCCACGCTGCTCCCATGGTACAGCAACAATCCGCCTTTGTAACCGTGCGCAATTCTAAGGTTCTGGCGGTGCATCTGCCGCCGATTGTTTGCAGGAAGCAATAGCCGACTCTTCGGTCTGATCACATAGAAGTACAAGCATATTTCTATCTTTAGTATTTTGACCGTGATATTTATAGTATTTTTTTTATTTATTGTATTATCTAATATATAGAATCTTTTTTACGCTTCATACCGATACACGACTTTCCGTCAGTGCTTTGTTCGAAACCGTCGTAGCAGAGACATTGATAGCTCCCCTCCAAATTAACGCAACGACCGTGCTGACAGAGGCCAGAATTAGTAGCGCATTCATTGATGTCCTTACACTCATCTGCCATTCCTATCTTTTGGTAGCCAGGTGGACAGATGCACATGAAGGTGCCAATCAGATTTTTGCATTGGAATCTACAGTCGTTCGCCGGCGTTGCGCATTCGTCAACGTCTGGAAACAAGAATTTATATTAATTTTCTATTTTACAATGTATAGAAACGAATTATGTATTATCTAATCTAGATTTGTTGGTACTAGGCGCAAATATAAATATTCTCTTTCTTCAACAAAGAAATGTAACACATACAAATATAAAGCAAATTATATATATGTTAGTAATTTTCTAATATAAATAACAATTTTATAATATAAATATAACATGTAACTAAAATGTTACATAATTGTTAAATAGTAACTTGAATATTATATGATAATTATACATATAATTATAGTAATACATTTTAGCATATACGACTTCCAGAAATATTAAATCTTTAAATTGATTTTTATTATGATATTAAATGAAATTATACATCTCTTTCTCTCTCTCTCTCTCTCTCTCTCTCTCTCTCTCTCTCAAAATAAATTTTTATTTACTTCTATTTTGCTGAATTAATATCCTTCATAGTAGAAAAAGAAAGTCACAGTATTGTTACAAAGGTATGCGAATTTATGTTTTGTCATTGCAGGTTCATACCTGCGTTTGCTGTGACATCATTGTCACAGCTAAATCACAGTAATGTGCAAATGTCTTTGTCGTAGATGTGATATTGCTATGACATCATTACACATGATTAAGGTTATTACATGATAAAGGTTATCTCACTGTGATACTGCTATGACATATAGAGATCAAGCTAATGATGTCACTTTTGATAATCTCATAGAAACATTATGATTTATATGTCTACATTTGTGAGTTCACTATGATATGAATGTGACTTGTTATTTTTTTTTTATTAAGGAGATTAATTAGATTTAAATTAATTTAAAAATTAAAGTGAATTGCAATTTTACAATGTTTTACTTTACCCTATGAAATATAGAGAATTTAATCAAACGACAAGAATGATGGTTTCTAATTACCTATGCAATGACGGCCATCGGGTGCCAGAGTGTATCCATATGGACAGATGCATCGAAAGGAGCCCGGTGCGTTGTGGCATCGGAAGGCGCACTGATTACCCAGCTCCAGGCACTCGTTCACGTCTTCGCACACCTGATGAGCCCCGGGCGCGTATCCGTCATTACAAGCGCACTCAAAACCGCCGTCGATATTACGACAAGTGCCATTACCGCAGATATTCTGCACGGTCAGGCACTCGTTGTTGTCCACACATCGCCTTCCAGTTTCGTCCAATATATATCCGGTCGGGCATTCACATCGAAATGAACCATCCGTGTTGATGCATTCGCCACCGGGACAAGCATTTGTCATAAACAGGCATTCATTCAGATCGATCCCAGTATCATCCCGCCCCGATCCTTCCGGGCACATCTTCTTGAACTCCTCTAAATGAACATAATTGTGTATGATTCTTTTATTATCCAAATTATGTGGTTATAATACGAATTTAAATTACTAATTAATTATGAAGTAGCTCTTTCTTTATGTTTCTTAGAATACTCCAGAGATATTGAGAATTATATTATCTAATTTATTTAACCGCGTGTACTAAATATCTATTTTATATTAATTATTCATTTGCAATAATAATTTGAAAACACATTTATTTAATTTTTATTTAACATTAATGTAATATTTATTTTACATTACAGTACAGCAGTATGTTCAGAATTAATTACTCATTTTGAGTCAATTTCCAAAGAACGCGTTCAAGCCGCCGATTATGTGGTTGGCGTTGTGCCTTTCTACCTCAGGAGCGTTTCTCAATGAAAAATATGCTGCAGTGAAAAAATACAGCGTTCCTTTAGGAGAAATTTATGGTTTTTCCAGTAGGCCTAGCCATCTAAGCTTATTATTATACATTTAAAAAAAAACGCATCTTTATAGCTCTAAATTCTAATTATTGTACACTATTGTTGTTATAAAAATTATATTTTACAAGGAAAATTTTTTACAAGTTTCTCCTAAAGATACGCTACCACCATACATATTTTTCACTGAGGGACAATGCTCTTGAGGCAGCCGTTTATGATTGGCGGTTCAATCGTCGAGCGATGAGCGATAGTGGAAGGACAATGGGCGACGCTTCGGGAATCGGCTCGAAATGATCAACTAATTCCAAGCACTGCGAGTAGAGAGAACCTTGATTTTATCTGACACACCGATTATTCAACCTTGCCTTAATTAAATTATTCTATCTATATATAAAAAACATGTTTTAATAAAAAAAAATTGAAAACTTCGATTATCCGACTATTCAACAAATCCGATTCGCATGGTCGAATAATTGAGGTTTTGTTGTAATTATTTATAGCAAGCAATATGCGGCAGTGCCGCTAGATGGACGCAACGGTTTTTTATTTTTCGTAAGTAAAAAACCACACAGGATGGAATAAAATCCGCAGCATTGTGAAATTTCTCACTCATGTTCTAATAAAATGATAATAAAATAGTGCCTTGACGGTACATTCTCAAAATTGAGTTCTAACAATAAGATGAAAATAAATAAGGTGTTTCATGAAAAGAACCGAAAACCATGCAATTTCTTAATTAAAAAAATTTTTTTACCGCTATTTTCAGGCGGACACTGCTCGCAATAACGGCCCCAAGCTTTGCCCATTGTGCAGCAACAGTGCTTCTTGGTCATCCCACCCTCTCGTGGGAAAGTACACTGGCCCCGTCTATAATTATCGTAGCATTGTTCTTCTCTTACATCGATACATTTCAGCGAATTTGGTCTCTCACTTAATCGATATCCTACTGGGCATTCGCAAATTACTCCACCTTCTGTATTGATGCATCGTCCATTCTCACAAATGCCTCTCGTTTCCACGCACTCGTCTACGTCTATATAAATGTAAATCATGTTTAGGAAATATATAAATGCGACAAATGATCAATATAATTTATTTAATGTAATTTTTACGTACCAACGCATTTTTTTCTGGAATGGTCTAGTTCATATCCTAGAGGACAAGAACATATGTAAGATCCCATTAAATTCTGACATTTCCCTGGAGATGGACATAATCCTGGTATCTGCAAGATACAATATTAATTTTGAAGTGATATTAACATATATATCAATCATTTGATTGATTTGAATTGTTAATATATGAGAGTATTAAATTTATTGGCTATTTTCTTTGAAAATTTTCCATCAGAATCTGCACGACATACTTCATGACATTCGTCGATATCGCGACAGTGCTGACCATCTTGCGCCAACACGTAACCATCTGCACACTCGCAAACAAAGCCACCAATGGTGTTCCGACATCGGCCATTGCGGCACAAAAATGGCATGATTCGACATTCGTTAATGTCTAAAATCAATTTATTAAAAAATTAAAATATGCAAACAAATATTTTGTTAATTGTAGAACTGTAGAACTATAAAGTGCAACTACTAACCAGCGCAATCATTGTTCGGACTGAGTTTAAATCCTTGATAACACTGACACTTGTAGGAACCCAAGGTGTTGATGCAGGTGCCATTGTTGCATATATTCGGATTGCGCTGACATTCGTCGATATCAACACAATTGTCTCTGTCACGAGTTAACGAGAATCCGGAATGACAGATGCATTGAAAACCGCCTTGTAGATTGCTGCACGCGCCGTTGCTGCAGATGCCCGATCGCTCGTAACATTCATCGATGTCGACGCAATCGTGTTGGCTGGGTCCAAGTTTGTAGCCAGCCGGACACACGCATTCGAAATAACCCTGCTGATTTACACATTGTGCGTTCCCACTGCAAGGATTCGGTATCTGAAAATATCACAAATATTGACGAATTCAGTATCCACATTTGGAGAAAAACACAATAGCAGCAAGTATCAAAGTAACAACTGTATACAAGTTTGTAGAATTATTAAGTACAATAGTAGTCGAATAAACTAACGTACATAGTTTGAATAAATTTATAATTGCTTTAACTATAAAATAAAGTTTATTTAATTATGTATACACTATATGTATATATATGTATACATGTAAATATGTTGTATGTATATGTATGTATACACTATATAATTATATATATACGAAGGTAAATCAATAAGTACTCATGTTAGTAATGAAGATGCAAGTTTTTTCACCAAAATTTTTTTTAATTTTTCAACGTAATTCCCTTTTAGGAGGATACACTTTTCTTAATGCTCCTGCCCTTTCTTAATTCTCCGAAAAATACAATTTGATCGATTTATCTCTATTTTTGATAAATTTTAGTCTTAAAATATGTAGTTATAATTATTATTTGCGTCATTTTTTCCTACATTTTATTTCATGGAATTTATCAGTTTGGTTTACAAGAGATTTATACATTACAATAATCTTCTTTAAGGATTAAAAAAACGAGTAAGAATCTTTCAGACAAAACATCAAAAGGAATACCTGTTGACATTCGTTCTCATCAATACACTGATGCGAATCCTGGTCATAAATGTAGCCGCGATTACATTGACATTCAAAACTACCAGGCGTGTTCATGCAATTGCCGTGAGTGCACATTGTCGGCATCAGGGCACACTCATCGATTTCTTCGGAGTGATTCGTAATTGGATTCATTATCTGACCTGGCACCAGTCCACATAGAATCTCGTGTTCGCCTGCAGTCAGCGAATGGTTATTATTAAACTCATTTGGTATATACAATACAAATTGTTTGATTACTCGAAAACTTACGGGTTCTTTCACCAGGGCACTTTTCACAGAGGCTGCCCCATGCGGCTCCCATGGAACAGCAACACAGCATCTTTGTTTGTGGCTGCACCATAGGATTAAGGCATTGTCCAGAATCATAAGTAAGATAACAGGCTTCTTTTCTCGTGTCGACGCACTCCTCTAAAGGAATGCATAACAGTTACATTTTACGATTTTTCTAATTTTAAATGCAAATTACATTAAAATTTACATCCGATAGTTGTATGAAAGATGGCGAAAATGTGTGAAAAATGAAGGAGCTGATTACTTTGATTAGGTTAATTTTTGTTCTTTTATAATTTTACATCGAAACTTGGTAAAAAAAAGGTCAAGAATTAAGTTGTAGATCTAACAATTAAATTTAAATTTAATTATGACAATAAAGTTTGATGAAGTAAACATAATTAAATAATGTCTTTATTTATGGTAGATGTACTCACTTCCTCCGGGCATTGCCATATATCCTTCAGGACACTCGCAATGATATTTCCCTTGATCGTTGATGCAATATCCTACACCGCATATTCGTGGATGCAACGCGCACTCGTTTATGTCTATAATATATATAATTTTTTAAAGTCATTTAAATATCCTGTTATTCTAGAACGTAAAAACATTAGCAAAACTTTGAGACCTTGACGATTGAACCGCCTAAGAATAATGAGATTTAAAAGAATCCAAGGTTACGTTTAAACTTTTTTAAAACTAGGACTATAGTTTATATATTATAAATTGAAGTATAAGCTTTTTCGAATGATATGTGTTTCCGTTACCAATGCAACTAGTCTTCGAATCGTCCAGGATAAAGCCTTCATTGCAGGAGCACATGAAACTACCGAATGTGTTGGTGCAATGTCCATTCTGGCAAATATTCTCATGTTCTTCACATTCATTAATATCTTCGAGAATAACGGTTACTCGATTTGGTCTGTACCCTGGTCCACTGGGGCACAGTTGGTCATACTCTTTCGTACCAATCTGCGGACATTCTTCGCAATTATTGCCCCAGGCGATGCCGATGCTGCAGCAACACGTTGCCTTCGTTACTGATGATGATACGTCGAAGATGCACTGAGGCCGTCCAGTGCCATGCTCATAGCTGGTGAAACAAAATGATTCGCGTCTATCTGTGTGATAAACGCAAAATCAAGATAATGAGAATTATATAAAACATTCGAAGAGTATAATATTCGAATGTACAGAAAACTTACCAACACAAGCATTCCCGGCTTCCACCAATTCGTGATGCGGTGGGCATCTACAGATGTATTTGCCTTGAGTGTTGATGCAGGTGCCGTACTGACAAGACTGCGGGCTCTCACATTCGTCTACGTCAGTGCAGTTGCCGCCGGAACCATCGAGCTTGTACCCTTCGTTGCATTCACAGCGGAACATGCCGAAAATATTCTCACATCGACCAAAAACGCAGAGATTGCTAAACATCTCACATTCATTAATGTCTACACAAGCCTGCTCGTTACGCTCATCTGGATGCATGAAGCCCATCTCGCATTCACAGCGATAAGCACCAGGATAATTCAAGCAATGACCATTTTCACAGAGCGTGCTGTCCTCTGTGCACTCATCGATGTCCTTGCAATTGTAGCCGTCGCCTCGAAAACCCGCATCACACACGCACTACAAAATAGTTTTAGTGAAATGAATTAATACTAATAATAACACTGTGTGACCGATTTCAACTTTTAAAATTTTCCAAAGGGCGCGTGGGTTTGATTGTGTCGGGAACACGGCCCACTATCATTTTCCCAAGAAATTTGGTAAAGTTAGATCGTAAAACAATGGGGCATAAATTTGAAGTTATTAATTTCGAGGAGTACCAGTTGCGCTATTCTCATGGTTTTGAGATCAAATATTATCACAAATACGTACACGCACATACACATCCTCACACTCACACTTATGCGCGCGAGCGCGAACTTTGTTTTACAAATACATGAGATAGCATTAGATAGTAGGATCTGTGAAGCTGGCACGACATTCTGTCGATATCAAAAAAATTACAACAGTTCCAGTAGCACTTTTCATAGTTCTACAGTTCTACCTAGAAATAAAAAAGAGTTCCGCAGTTTTAATATGAAAAAAATTAAAATTGAAAATATGGCGTGCTAACTGCGCGAATCTGGCACGTCAGATTTCCTCTAAAGTACGAGAAAAAAATTAATATTTGCACTTTTAGCAACAGTTCCCGATAGTTCTACTAAAAACCAACTAAGATATGCATTTTCAAAATAAAATAACAACATTTAACAATTTTTATACATCCTATATAGAAAATGGCACAAAACTTCTAGAAAAAGTGACGTGCTATACAGCAACGTTTTTACGCAAAAGAGTGGGATTAGAGAAATAATTCAACGGCTTGAGGTATTGGCTATTTACCGCATGCAAAAGCGTTAAGGTATAGGGCACATTACGTGCACGCATGATGAAAAAAATATTAACATGTGCGTATATTTGTTATCATATATATTTGACCTGAAATCGCGCTACCTGTATTCCTCAAAATTCATAATTATACATTGATTCCCCATTTTTGTACGATCTAACTTTGCCAAATCCCTTGGGGAAATGGTAGTGGGCCGTGCCCCCAACATAACCAAACCCACGCGCCCTTTGGAAAATTTTTGTGGTCACACAGTGTAATTAACGTTAGTAGATCAAGCAATACGATCATAAGAAATTTCATTGAAATGTTTTTTTTTATTACAAAAATTATGCCTGCCGGATATTTACTGTCTGCCTTTGCAAATATATTATACATACTGATACATTCTGGTTTATAATAGTTATAACTTCATTGAGCAATTAAGAATTATTTGATAAAGTCATTGTTTGACATATACCTTAAAGGAACCCTCGGTGTTGATACAATGTGCGTTAGAGTCGCAGCCACCATTATTAGTGGAGCATTCGTTAATGTCCCAACACTCAATTCCATTTCCAGTGAAGCCTTCATGGCAAGTGCACACATATGAACCCTGGGTATTCTGACACTCAGCAAATTCGCTGCAGGAATAAGCGTTCAATCGGCATTCATCATCGTCGGTGCATGCTGGTCCTTCCGCCGGCTTCACCGAATATCCTTCTTCACAGCGACAGTTGAAAGAGCCGATTGTATTGTAACATTCGCCGTATCCGCATATCCGTGGTTGTGTCACGCACTCGTTGACATCTATGATAAAAAATAACTCGTATAAATAAACAAAATAGATAATGTCATTTATATTTTTCTAAAACTTTTAGAGTGAATTTCACTCTGAAGAGTAAACTTTCACTCTTGAAGATTGAAGATTGAGCCACTCTTTTTCAAAATTGGCTCAATTTTTATTTGTTCAATCAAGACTCAAGTTCATCAATTTGTTTAGGAAATATTCTACTCCTAAAAATTTAGAGTATACAATGTCTTATAAAAGGTTTACCTATACAAGATATACCGTCTCTCCCAGGCAGCAAACCGTTCGTGCAATTGCATATGTAGCCGCCAGGTATGTTCTGGCATTTACCTCCGTTGCAAATGCGAGGGTTTTCTTTGCACTCGTCTACGTCCACACAGGTTCGACCATCCAGATTTAAAGCGTAGCCGGTACTATCTCGCAAATAATAAACTATCATTACTATATCCTTAGAATTTTAATTAGCTGAATTATGGCTCAATTAACTGAAATATACACATATATACTAGAGAAGCTAGATTTACTGTAAATAGTACTTTATAATCGATATTTAAATACAAAAATTGAGAGTAATTCTCACACACACAAATATTAATTAGACTTTTTTATGTAAATACAAATAGTGGTTGATAAACATATTTACACTTATTGTGAGTCAAAAGTGGGAGTGTCTGCTCTTATTCTACATACTCGTAGTTTTTTTTAAATTACAAAAACAATCATTGTAAAGCCATTACTACTTAAGGCTCGTGAACAGACGTACCTTCCACTCATTGAGTAAACTCGTCAATATTAATTTGTATTTACAAATAATTTTAAGAGATTTTGTAAAATTCGTGCATTGAAAAAATAGTAATTTTTCTCACCGACAAGAACAGGAAAAGCTACCCGGCGTATTCAGGCAAATGTCTTCACAGCCGCCGTTATCAATCGCGCATTCGTTGATGTCTTCGCAATGAGATCTAAGGCCCGTCTGTTGATAACCATCGTCACATATGCACTGATAGGTGCCCATCATGTTCTCGCAAACGCCATTCGAGCATATACCACTAGTTCTCGAGCACTCGTCAATGTCTTTGCAGGATTGCTTGTCAAGCCCCAACTCGTGTCCTGGAGGACACTGACAATTGAAACCTCCTTCGGTATTGATGCAGGTGCCACCACGACACAATCCTGGTGTCTCTTCGCATTCGTCTATGTCTGGAATGTTTAATTTAACATACATTACGAAATTGTTTTCCAATTTAAAGATTTTATATGTTAAACTTTTAAATTAAATTAATTTAATTTAAATCATAAAATGTTTAATCCAATTTTTTATACCATACCCATGCAAATCTTCATGATATCACTGCTGCGATAGCCAGGATTACAGTCACACTGAAAATTACCAGGAGTGTTTCTACAGGTACCATTACCACACACTCCACGCATGATCTCGCATTCGTCAATATCTGAAAAGTTCAAGTTGAGAGAGAGAGAGAGAGAAAGAGAGATTAACTAATTTATCTGTCCATACAGAATGTTTTGTCGAATTTTGACGATAGACTATTTTAAAATTGTTAATGTTTTTTAAGAATGTAATTTATTTAAGTTAAATATATATATATATATAAGAGCAGATTCAATACAAAACCTTAGTGTAAGAAATGGATTTTTATACATTTTTTTACATACATACTTTCTAGAGCTCAAGATTTAAAAAGAAGACTCGTCTAGGATTTAATCTTTCCAAATCCTGAACTTCAAGATTCCCTGAAGAAATAACTTACCGTTGCATTTGATACCATGCTCGTCGAGTGCGAAGCCCTGATTACATTTGCAACTATAGCTGCCGATTGTGTTCTTGCATCTGCCGTTCAAACACATGCCCGGGAACTCGACGCACTCATTGATATCCTGTCGTTCAGTGAAGCCGTCTCCCCGTGGGCATAATTCGGTATGAGTCTGTGTGCCTATCTTAGGGCACAGTTCGCATTTGTCGCTACCCCAAGCGCGGCCTACGGAACAGCAGCAGAGACTCTTGGAGAAGTGACCCTCTATGGGACTGGTGCATTGACCATGACGATGGTCCAAGAAGCATATTTCTTGTCTGGTGTCGACGCAAGTGCTGTCTGTATTTAAGATATTGAAAAAAACATAAAAAATATTTAAAAATGGACGGTCTACAAATAAAAAAAAATTAAGACAAAAATATCCAGTTTAGAATATAATAAAAAAACATGATTTGTAATATGTTTTATGTTATAATGATTTATGTTATAATATAATTCTTTATTAATTCTTTATGTACTTTTCTATATAGGATAACAATCTATGAATAGATTTTTCTAATGAAAAGTGATATATTTATGATAATTTGATATTATTGGCTTACGCGTCGTGTCTAAAGTGAGGCCAGGGGGACACTCGCAACGATATGAGCCATCTGTGTTAACGCAAGTGCCACCCCCTTTGCAAATTCCGCTATTGAGATCGCATTCGTTAATGTCCGCACAGCCCTTGCCGTCGACCTTTGCGTAGCCCTTTGAGCACTCGCAAAGTGAATGATCACAAATCTCGCAGGGGCTACCCCAAGCCACTCCGACTGAGCAGCAGCACTCCGAGCGTAGGGTTACCTTTGGCAAGTTATTCTCACAGCGACCATCTATCATCTTGGTCCAGCAGGAGCCCTTCCGATTGTCTGGAATTAAAGGACCAAAATTCAGTCTATATTTATATCTATTTTGTTTATACTTACAACAGAAATTGTTTCATTGTTATTTGGAATTTTTCCGTACCCATGCAAATGTGGCCGGTGTTGTCGAGAATGTATCCTGGAGAACACTCGCATTCGTAAGCTCCCGGAGTGTTGACGCAAACACCATTGAAACATACGTCTGGTCCTAACTCATCGCATTCGTCCACGTCCTCACACATTTGATTCTGCGTGTTGTATCTCATACCCGTCGGACAGAGGCACTGCGAGTAAAATGATGCTGTCGATAGTTCACGATATTTATATTCTAAATTAAGTCAGTTAGAAACATATATGTATATACTAGTAATATGTTATATAATATATCACCAAAAATCTACAATGAAGTGTAACTTAAGCAATTAATGAATAAATTTCTCACGTACACAGAATTAAACTGATCAAGTTATTTCAATTTCCTGTACTTTTTATTTTATAGAGTTGATTTGTTTATCTTTTAAAAAAGACATTTAAACTAAGTCTTCTTTTTTCTCTCTTTCTCTTTTACTTAATAATAAATAATTTGCTTACTTGGAAACTACCGGGTGTATTTCGACACTGTCCGCCACTGCATAAGGAATCCTCCAGTTCACATTCATTGATATCGCTGCATATCTTGCCTGTTGCATCAACTTCATATCCATTGTCACAGATACACCGATACGTTCCCATAAGATTCTCACATCCGCCATTGACGCAAATATTTGGGTTCTGAGCGCATTCGTTGATGTCTACAATGGTAATTATAATTAAAATTATTCATTAAATTGAAATTTTTGAAAATCTTGTAAATTTTATAATATTAATGTTTAAAAGATTTTTTTACGAGTACCTATATATATTTAGAATTATACAAGTTGTTACAAAGTGAGCGTTTTATAAATGTAAAAGCTGATGTTTTGGTAGATTTGAGAGTATCAGATTTCTAACAAGTGGAATATTTGATAATGTTTTACCATCGCCATTATAAGTCATTCCAGCACCGTGCGGACATAAGGCTTCAAACTCTGTGGTGTCTGGAAGCGGGCAAGGTTGGCAGGTACTACCCCAGCCCAGCGGCTGACCCAAGATCACTGTGCAGCAGCAACAACTAGACTTTGTCACGGCAGTGGACGTAGGATTGGAGCATTGGCCATCTCTGTACTGTGAATAGCACAGATCTCTTCTCGTATCTGACAAGCGCAGAGTCATACAATAGAAATGTAATTTTTTGTTAAACAATTAAATATTGTGTGAATTATCTAATTAAATTAATCATAGGAAAGAGAAAACTCTATACGTGAAGTCAATTTATTTAAAATTAATATCAATCTTGCCTTAGAAAACATTTAAGGCAAGACTTAATTGTAAAGTTATTTAAAGAGCAATCAAGCTAACAGATTTTTAAAAAAATAATAAATAGAATGGATTTTTTAATTTAATGAACGTTTGATTATTAAGAAAAAATTTCGAATTAAATGTAATTCATACGAACCTAAACAGGACCTTCCATCAGGACCCAGATTAAATCCTAGATGACACTCACACCGGAAACTACCAGGAGTGTTGATGCAACGTCCATTTTGACACGGTAAATTTACACATTCGTCAATATCTTGCAAAACAAATAACAACAAGGTTATAAATGAATTACTTCTTTCTTCCGCTTTTAATTCTATCTTTAAATGTTTGGAGGAAGTCAATCTTGCAATAATTAAATGCTCGATTAAATTTTTTTAATGTTAGATCATTGAAATGTTGAAAATCTAGATTATGCGGAATTATAAAAAATATATAAAAATCTAGTGTTTTATTTTCACGAATGTCTTAATTGTCAGTTATTCAATAAGGTCAATACCGATGCAGTGACTTAAATCAGGACCGATCCTGAAACCGGAGTCGCACACGCACTTGAAGGAGCCCTCCATGTTGACGCACTTGCCGTTCTCACACATCCCACTAGTGGAGCATTCGTCCATATCCACGCAAAACGTATTGTCTCTTGAAGGAGTAAAGCCTGATTGACATATGCAGTGATAGGATCCTGGCGTATTTTCGCAATGGCCGTTCAGACAAATTCTTGGATTCTCAATACATTCGTTGATGTCTGAAAAAAAAGTTCAGAATTGTTACTACTATTATTTCCATCTCAGAAATATCTTTTTTTTCTTCATTACAAACGTAATATATTTATTATTTCTTATGTTCCTCACCTATGCAGGTATTTTTTGTCGGCGATAGCGTATAACCATCGTTGCATTTACATTTAAAGGATCCGTTCATGTTGATGCAATGTCCGTTAGTACACATGCCTGTATCTTGGCATTCATCGTGATCTAGAAAGATATTTATTTATATTGATCAATACGCATTGAAAAAAAAAGTGTTTGATATTGGTGACTATAATTACAAAGTAAAATAATTTAATTACAAGCTTTATACAGTTATTTTAGTTATAATGTTAATAATAATAATTATATTTATATAGTTCTATTAAAAAATATGTAATTGGCATTAAAATTATAAATTATATACTTAAATTATAGTAATTACAACCATTATTTCAATGCATTATTATTAATTATGTACATTACCGTCAATTGTTTTTGAAAAAGTGCTAAAATTTTTATATCAACACAACTATTATTGCAATTATTATCATTACTATCATTACATGCTTTTATTAAATTATCATTAGGCGCGTTCAGTGGACTCATCAGTTGAATGAACGCTTGCTATTATTGGTGTATTCTTTTAGATCATCCAATCAAAATTTTAGATCGCTGAACGCGCCCATTAATACCGTTGTACTGCTTTGAAAAGTTGAAAAGGGATTCGAATAATGACTTTACCGGTGCAATATCTGCCCTCGCCAGAAACGACAAAACCGGACGGACAATCGCAGACGAAGCTACCGGGGTAGTTGCGACAAATTCCGCCCTGACAGTAATCCAACTGACACTCATCCACGTCCTCGCATCTACCGCCAGGCTTCCTTGTGAAACCCGGATAGCATTCGCACTCGTAGCCTTCTTTGGTATCGATGCATTTTCCGTCACCGCAAATGTCTGGCCGCAACGCACACTCGTTCACCTCGGTGATTGACTGCAGTTGCGAGCAAAGCCTGTTGTAATCGTCTACAATTGAGTAATAACGTGGATCCTGTAGAATTGCCAGTCGCCGTAGTCGTTCGCTTTTATATAATCCATTTTTCGTGTGTTATCGCGGTTTTGATTTTGCTTTGCATGTCGCTAACAAAGAAATCTTTTAGCGTACTTGCTTAGAATTATTTATGATTGGACGAAACAAACCGTCTTCGAAATTCGAATTGATAATATTGATTGTAGTTTAAAACAATTAAATTATGCAAATTTAAATTAATTAAATAATAATTATATAAATTTAAATTATGCAAGAGAGAGAATATCGTAAAAAATTATGAAAAATGTATGTAATATTAAAATAAAGCACTGCTTTATGGAGTCATCCTTTTTAAAAATGTATACGTACCACTGCCAGGATTAGGACAGATAAAGCATTCATCACCCCATCCTCGACCCATATTCTTGCCACAACAGCAATCCTTTTTACTCAGTCGCATAGCAAGTCGATTCCTGCACTGTCCGTTACGGTTTACCGCTGTGTAACACAATCCCTGTCTGCCATCTGAACGATAATTAACCACCAATTTAAAAAAATTAATAAGAAGGTGCGGGAGAATATTCAAAATAGAAAAATTTTTTTTTCAAATAAAGCTATTTAAGAAGGAAATATTAAAGATGAATAGTGCATGACATTTTAGTAAAATCTTTATTATAATATTTAACCTTTTAAGTAGGTAGGTTTAAATTATAGTTATAAGAACAAGATTTTAAAGAAAACTATATTTAATACAGTAGAACTATCTCACCTATCTATTTAAAAATTAATTGCATTATCTATTCTCATGATTAGTTACCGATGCAAAATTTGCGATCTTGACTCTGTATGAATCCCGGATTGCAGTGGCAGTAATAACCGCCGTTTGTATTTATGCATCGGCCATCCGCACAGATGCCTTCCTCTTGGCATTCATCCCTATCTTTGCACTCATTGGTCTCGGGATCTCTCGCTTGTCCTGCGGGGCACTCACAGGTAAACGAGCCAGGAGTATTTAAGCATTTACCACCCTCGCAAAGTCCGGGAATTGCTTCGCACTCGTTAATATCTGAAGATATTAGTTATATTATTTAATAATTAAATTAATTAATAATTAAATATAATTATGATTTATTCCAATAACTGTAAAACTTTTGAATTATACGTTTTATTGATTGAGTGATATTTAATATTAAAAGTCAAGGAGACATTAACGTACCGACGCATTGACCCTGATTGGTTTTCAAGTAACCCAATTCACAATCCAATCTGGCTGGACACCTCTCACAGGGGTGACCCCATCCCTTGCCTACCGTGGCGCAGCACAACTGTCGTGTGCAAACCACTCCTTGAAGGCTTGCCAAGCATTGACCATTTTTTACTTTGGTAAAACAGGGTCCGGTCCTAAACATAAAAGTACGTGAAAAAAAAAAAACTAGGCGATACATCGATATATTTGTTTATCTTACCTGTAATCGGTTTCGCAACGTCTTCCAGTGTAACCGTAGATGCAAGCGCAACGATCTGGACCGATGCATCTTCCCTGATTTAAGCAGGGCTCACGACAAATTGCTAGTTGAGAAGAGATCTTCGATTAATTATTTAGTTATTTTTTAAAATAATTCTTTATCTCTTTTCTATTTTTCGGTATCTAAGATGTGTACTCCGATTCAAGATAGAATTGTAATTTGTTCTCGTGAAACTCGTAAGACCCGTAAGAAATTACGATTTTATTTCAGTTTGCGTATTTAAAATTGCCCTTACGTTCATTGCAGAATTCTCCCTGGTACCCGCTGCGACACTGGCATCGGCCGTCGACACAGTTTCCGTTTATGCAATGAACCTTACATCTTCCTGCCTCGCTACGATCGCTACCATTTCCGGTCTCGGTGGTAATGACTGTTGATGACATATTGGTTGATCAGATTGTCAACAAATTTTATTTTTAACAAATCCGCTATTATCTCAAAACCGTTCAAAAATGACTAACAACTTTATGAAAGAATTGATATGAAAGACGTTTGAAAACTCTGGAGAATCATTTGATATACATATATGTCTTACCTTTGCTTTGACCATTACCACAAGCGGAAGCGACAACGCCGCCCTCACATAAACAGATATTCGGTCTTATACATCTTCCAAGAGGACCGCAGCGTCTTGCGCAAATCGCTAAAATAAAATAGATGATATTTAAAATTTAAGACGAATTGCTTGGACCGAATATAATGTTTTTCTACATATTTTTTTTTTACATTAAACAAAAAAGAGAGCCTAGGCTGCTTTATTGCTACAGTAAATTAAATTCTAGTAATGTAAATTTAGAATTAATTACAATTCTAATTATATATATAGATTATAGGCGTGATGTTGAATCATCAACATCCTTAAGACATTACGAACTAATTACTGTTAATAATTATATTGTCAGACACCCGGAAATTGTGACGGAATGCAGATCACGAACGAAGTGCGGCCACATTACCAGACAATGTGATCAACAGGAAGCGCATAACAGGTCATTAAACCAGTTTTATTCGAGGCGGCCGTTCGTGTCGCATAAATGTCCATTTGTCCGTTACGTAATTGCATCGATCGTTATCATTCTCGAACAGTATTGGTAATGATAGGTGGTATCTCGCCCGATATTAATAACCGCTTTCCATTCTGTGAATATCTCGCGGGAAGTCCGATTACGATAAAATCATAAGGATACAGATCATTATGTCCTGGATCGTCGCTTGCTTTATTGTTGCCAGTAATATGGTTTTATCATTATTTTGTGTTATTATGTATTTTAGACTCTGCTTCTTTTAATGTTAAAAATCATTTAATTATAATATAATATAATTAATTAATTTATCATAAAATTTTGGAAGGAATGAAATGATCATACTTTTACATTTCAAATTTAGCTAATAAAAAAATATTAATTTTTCTGTTGAATTTTTTAATCTCATTATTTGCCTTTTTTACTCTTTTTTACTGTTTCATTGTCTTGATTAGTGTAATTATATAATTATTTTATTATTATACTTATGAATTTTAGCGAAATAATGTTTTAGTATAAAATTGGATTAGTTTTTACTTACGAATGACACACAGGCCTGTTTCCACCTTTTTTGACCACCCTGGACAGCAATAGTTTTTGTATCTCGATCTGCACACGTTCGGCCTAGAAGCATTTTTGATATATTTTTTATTTCTGGGACATATACATATATATGCACATATGATTTTGTAAAAGAATTCTATGTATAAATATAAGATTCAAATGATTATTAAAAGAAATGTATTAATGTTTAAATTAATTGATTGATTCAAGATTGAGCTGCGCGATCTTTTTTAAAGAAATTAACAGTATATGACAATAATATGAAACAATTTATTAAAATGAGATAATAATGATTATAAAACGAAAAAGGATATGAATCAAACATAAAAATTAGAGTGCGTAGAAATAAAATATCAAATGTGAAATATCACATACAACAAATTTAATAAAACAATTAAAGAATATATTACGGTCCATATTCGCACCTTATACTTATTGATAAATTAGCGCAATTATTGACAAAAGTGTGAATACGCGGCCTTACATGTTTTGATTCAATTTTGAGCTATTTGCAAATACAGCCAGAAAACCTGAAAGGAACACTGAGTCGTTTGTGTAAAACTAATGATTAGTTACTTGTAAACTATTAAAATAAAGCTTGAACTTCTATTCGAACAAAAATTATTAAACATTTGTATAAAAATTATATGTTAAATTAATTCAATATATCAACTAAAATTAATTGATTAAATTAATTTATTTGCACAAATTTATTTAATTTAACATGTGATGTTTGTTGCCACTTCTCTAAAATTATACAAGCTGCAATTTTCTTTTCTTAAATTTTATTTTTATTTAAATTTAAATAAAAATGAACCGCAAACAATTTTCTTATTAATTTCCGAAATCATGGAAGCAAAAATGAGTCATAAGTTGCTCTTTATGATGCCAGCTTGAAGATGCCGCAGGCGGAAACGTGGCGTTTCCGCGGCACGCGTAAGAAGAGAAGAGCGAAAAAAAGAGAGGAATAGAGAAAAAAATGGAAGAATAGGAAGAGAGCGGAGTGCCACCTCAGAACAAGGCGGCCATTCACATCTGGCGCCTCGTAATTAACGTCAGCTGCTATGAACCGCGACCGGCTTTAAACGCCGCCACTTATGCCCCTTGGCGCCGCAATCGCAAACGCTAGTTAGTGTACGCTGGCTTTCTCACGTCACGCCATTTTTTATCGCATGGCGATAACGCGATCATTATCTTACATAAGGTTTTATACGGCTGTGGTTCACAGGACATTGAACTTCCCTTATAGAAATCTAATTTAATACTACTAATTTAATACTGAAAGATAATGATTAATTATTTATTTTGAATATTAAAAGTACTATTGTTTTTTCTTAACAACACTCTTTTGATAATCGCTATTTTTCAGTGTTATACGTAAAATTTTATAAGGGTTCGTTTCGACGATTCTTAGACAATAGTGAGAAATTTCCTCAGAATTCCACGATGCTTGGATGACCTTCCGAAAAAAAATATCCGAATTTTGACGTACTGAATCAATAGATAAGTTCGTACATCAGAGATAAAATCCAAGATTTTGCGATTAAAAGATTCCTCGAACAAGATCACATATACTGAGGCTCTACGCGGCCGGCCTTTGCATTCATCAGCGTGCCTTTCGAGAGGGGCAACTGGTCCCGCGCATTTCTCGTTTTGCTGGCGCGAGGGAGATTAATGCACTCGCGTGTCCGGCATCTCTCACGCTTTTCCTTTTCGTATATCTCCTCCCGTGACTTCTGACATACGCGTTACAAGCCTGGTGCGTATCACCTTTGCCGGTAGGGGCATTGCAGCGGGCGTTTGTGTAGCAATATTAATGCGTGTGCACAGCGCGTGATGAAGCAATCTTGCTCAAACAGTGGCCCACTAACTGCTCGGTGTATACCTGACGGATGTTTACACACGATTACGTCGGTGAACGATCTCGCACCCTCCTGACTTAAAAGAAAAACTGAGAGCCATTTGGGTAATTTAGTGTTATAAAGAACTCAACTCTTTCCAAACTCGTTTAAGATAAACGAAGTCTTTTTAAAAAAATCCAACAAGTGGGAGAAGTTAAATTTTCGAGAAACAAAAAATAATCGTTTATTATATATAAATATGGTTACCTTTCTCCGAATATATGTATATCTAGTGGATATGTAAGAGTATAAAGAATTATTTTAGAATTATATATTATTTAATAATATTTTTTAAGACATTTATTTCATTTAAAAAGAACTAAAGTTGTTTGGTTCGTGTAAAAATTTTATATCTACTACCTGTTATCTCAGCATTTTATATTATCTTTTCTAAAAATTAATAATGATAATGATGAAAGAAATATGTTATTTCATCAAGTATAAAGCAAGAATTTTTTAGCTTATAAAATTGTATGTTTGTTTTTAACAAAGACAATCGTTGCGAATGTTAAATATATCTTACATATCTTGTTTTCTATTTGATGCTCGCTAGAACAAAATTATTTAAGTAATATGACGCTACTGGTAGAATACGAGTTGGAGCCATAATGCAGATTAAAAAAAAAATAGACTGATTTGATTTTTGTGGGAAGTCCTTAAAATCTCTCTCAAAACCTCTCGCTGCATTTGATCTTATCTTCCTTTGTATTTTATTCTTATTATCGACGATAATCAGATCCCGTTAAAACACCGATTGTCATTACGGCAAAAGTTCGAAATCGGCGAGAGGACTAACTTTGGTACGCATCGTTAATTGGAAAATTACAGCGAAGCTCGGGTGTAATAATAATAATAATAATAATTGGCGGCAGAATTATGAGGAGCGCAGTCGATCATCATCTCGCAGCCGAAATAAGCTTTAATCCAATCTGTATGCAAATGAATGCTCCTTGGGAGATTGGTCCACTGTCGAACTTGTATCGCGGTGTCCGATCGCGCCGATCAACACGTGGCGACCGTGGCGTGCCGTTATAACCGTGTCGGCAGGGTGTAATTTTAACACCCGCCCGTAATGATAGCGTGTTCTAACAAGCACTGAAATCAATGCGCAATGTGTTCATCGGCCGATATCTTTATTTGAAGATCTTTTCGTGGAGATCACTTACGCTCATCTCTTTTAGCGGAAATACAAACCTCATTTTCTTTACGCTTTTTACATTTTTTATAATTTTAAATATTTTCAACTTCTCCATTTTTATTTATCATAATTTTGATTTAAATTTATTTGTTTTAATTCTTTTTTAAGCAGATGTTTTATATTATATTACAAACAGATACAAATAACGAGACAATACAGTCATTGGTAAAATTCATATACCCAATAATATTTTTTGTTTTTTAAATATTAATATATTGTATTTATTGAATTGATAATTAATTTAACACATACTCATGTTTTTATAATACTATTTCCTTTAAAAACTGTTTTCATAATGAATGTCATAAATGTAAATTTGATTAAATATTGATATATTTTTTCAGATGTAATAATACTTTTGGTATGATAAAATAAATAATTTCTATATTAATTACATTGTGTTGCAATTTGTTTATTTCTCAACACTTGATTGATGATTTTTATGTATTTTTAGTTACTGTAGAAAAAATGTAAAGATTAAAAAAGTTTTATCTCGTACATAAATTTTACGGAGTAAAATATATAAAAGAATTTCACTCTTTAGGTATTTAGAAATATGTAGAAACTTTGTACTCTTGACATTAAATATTATTAATAAAAATCTTATTATTTCAATATATCTCTCAATTAAGTATATACGTTTCTTTAGTGTAAAAAGTTCTACAAGAACTTATTATTTATTGAAGTAGAAAAAGTTTATCAGAATTTGTTGCACTTATCATAATTTCCAATAAATTAATGTCTTAATGAAACCGTATAAATGTCTAGCATCTAGTTAACATAGACCTAATTAGTGTGGGTGATTAACAGCTTACGAGAGCGTCCAATTGGAAACTACGATAGTTTCAGAACAAATGACGCGAATTGCGGGTCATTAAAATTAAAGCGATCAAAAGCAGTCGCTTTCCCATTGTGATTAGGGGCGAACAAACAATACCGTGAAGGATTGCAAAAAACATGGCCGGAGCAATTGTTTGCGGTCTCCTTAAACGAGTGTTGTGTCACAATTCAATCGGTCACAATACGTGGTATTGCAACATACCAGTATAGCTATGTTGTGCGCGAAAAGGCATCAAGCATCGATTATCTCTTGATCTTCAGAAACTCAGCCCATGAACTAACGGTTTTTTAGATTTAGAACCTTGAAAAGACGAATTAGCCAATTTTTTAATATGTTGTAGAATCTAACCTTTCTGAGCAAATAACAAATTTTTATTATATCGTAATACTTATTTCACATGCAAAATTGAAGCATTTTCCTTTGTTTTCTAACATGGATAATTTTTCTGAGTAATTACTGTGCATAGAATATAATTTAATTAGAACTATTTAAATTTATATTAATTATATTATATTTATCAGATGTATCTCTGATAGAACAAGATAAAAGGTGGTCATTTATATGGGAACACTCGATAAATTTTTAAATTACCGTGGTACTTTGGTACTCCGGAATACTTCCGGTTCGTGATGTAGAACTTTTTTGTTTACGGTATCGCAATCCCAGCAATGCGGTTTGCGTAATCATTTGTCTCTTCTTGTCGGAAATTATTGCTCTGCGATCGCGCGGACAGCAATAATTTTAAATTATGATCAAATCAAGATTAGTCGGCGTAATGAATGACAGAAAAACAATTTGATGCGTGACGTGCTTCTTATCATTACACAGTGTGTGTCGGGTAGGTTTAACAACCTTCGGTTGCTGACAGCTTCATTACTTCGACGTGGCTTCCTGTACACTCGTAACAAAATTTTCCCGAGAACTAGTGCTTTCAGGCGTTCAATACAAAATATTTCATTTTCAAATAAAGCTCACAATGTAACGAAGACGGTGCAAGCGGAGCAAAAAATGATTAATGTAAAATGTATAAAAATACTTTCAGAGTTATAAAAACTCAAATGAATATGCCGATTATCATCTATTGGACTGTAGTTTTTATTTATTTTATGCCGATCTTTTT